TAGAGAGAGCTGCCTAAGGAGGTCCGCTATCATTCCTGACAGTGGTACCTGGGACTAGACACGACAATATTCGGTCATAGCTGTTTCCCGGAGAGAAAATAAGGAAAATGTAATAGATATTCTTTTAGTAAATGCTTGCTTAATTTTGAAAGGGTTTTTGTTTTTTTTAATCCTCACCGGAGGAATTTTTTCCATTGGTTTTTAGAGAGAATGGGAGGGAGAGTAGGAAGAAGGGAGGGAGTGGGGGAAGAGAGAGAGAAACATTGATGTGAGAGAGACACATCAATTGGTTGCCTCCTGCATGCACCCTGACTGGGGCAGGGATCTGACCTGCAACCCAGGTGCATGTCTTTGACCAGGAATCGAACCCAAGACCCTTTGGTGCGCAGGCCATGCTCTAACCACTGAGCACGCTAGCCAGGGCTTGGGCTTTTTTTTTTTTTTAAATATTTTTTTGTAATTCTTTATTGATTTCAGAGAGTAAGGGAGAAGGAGAGAGAGATGGAAACATCAATGATGATAGAGAACCATTGATCAGCTGCCTCCTGCACGCCCCCTACTGGGGATCGAGCTCGCAACCCAGGCATGTGCCCTTGGCCGGAATTGAACCTGGGACCCTTCAGTCCGCAGGCTGACGCTCTATCCACTGAGCCAAGTCGGCTAGGGCTTGGGCTTTTTTAATAAATGTCAATCTCTTCCTATCTTCTTTAAACTAAAATTGGACTTCTTACTTGCTTCCTAAATGTGCACACAGCAGTTACCATGTACACCAAGCATGTCAAACTCAAAGGCTAACACGGGCCAAATAAACAAGGTTTAAGTTTATGTGGGCCACAAAAAAACAAAAGCTTCAATTTTCATAGAAACGTAGGTTTATTTCGATAGAGACATGAGTAATCGTTAACATAAAATAATAGAACATTTTAATGAAAATTAATATTTTTTCTTGAACATTAACTTACCAGACACTGAATAACTGCACAAATTAATAAGCGTAACACAAATAAACCTATTTTTTCTTGTTCTCTGAAAGCGAAATATTTCCTGTTGCGCACACCAAACAAGTCAGTCCAAGACTAATGACGTGGCCATAGCCTGCTAAAGTATTCGCCGCCAGTATTAGTAGAGAGAAATGGTGCACCTGCGCGTAAGGTGCGTAAGGGAAATGAATGCAACATGATTATAGTAATTAGTCATTAGTGAACGTTGTAGTTCATTATTAATAATTATGTATAACATATTATAAAAATTAAGTTACAAAATTTTTATTAAAACGTTTCTTATATACCTTTATATTGGCTGGGCCACAAAAATATTCGTTGTGGGCCGCGAGTTTGACATGCTTGATGTACACACAGTCCACCCAAGAACCACCGCCCTTGGAGACAGATGCGGTGGCCCCGCGTGCATTCACTTTCTTCCTTTCTCTGGTTTGTTTACGCATCTTGGCCTCTTTCTCCACTAGCACCTCCTGCCCTAAATTTTGGCAGAGGTGTGACGTCCTGAGTGTGGTCTCGGGCTGCGTTCTGCTCTCGGAGTGGCCACTTCTCCCTCTGTGTCTGACCCTGGTGAGGAAAGGCAGTGAGAACAAGCTCACGCACAAAACCAACACCTTCTTCATAGCCCCTCCCACGCTTATTTTCCCCAGATTTGTCTATTATTAAGAGGATCCTGAAAACACTCATTATCTTTGCTGTGTCCTTGCACACGTAATTCACTCCCTCCCCTCCGGTGGCAGATGCGCAGGCTCGGGGGTGGCTTCTCATTGGCTGGCTGAGTCATCTGCAGCTCTGGGAGTGGGATGCTTGCTCCAGGTCACAGGCCTGAGGGGACAGCAGGGCTGGGTCAGAGCCTGGCTCCGGGCGCCGCTGTCCGCAGAGCTCCAGCATCCTCACCCGCTGCCGCGAGCACGGGGTACCTGCTCCCACTGTGGGCACGGTGTCACCTCTGGCTGGGTGCCTCACCTCCTTTTGGTGCATTCAGCCACCAGGGAAGGCACTGCCACCACCAACAGCACTGGCCAAGACCTTTCTCCTCAGCGGAGGTTGGGGATCTTTCTTTCCCTGTCCTTCTGTAACTGTATTTTCACTGCAGTTGAGCTTATCACATCTTTCCTGGGTGCTGGAACACATGCCATGGGAGGTCCAGGCCTGTGTCTGACCCGAGTGGTTAAGGCACAGGCTCCAAAGGCAGATGATTCTTCTTCGCCAAACCCTTGTTCCTTGGCGATTCCAAGCCGGGGTGGTGGCAGTATGTTTTTAGGGTATTGTAGACTCAAGGGCACAGTGCATGCAAACTCTTTCCTCAAATACAGGGGTGGGCAGAAGTGGGCCTGCAGCTGTGCGTGTGGAGAAAGGCAGGCACGCTCTGATGCTCGCAGGAGCTTTAGCAACTGTCACCCCACTTCTGCTCCCCCCCACCCCCTGCCCCCGGGTGCTCCCGCCGTCATTCCCACCAGCAGACCTGTGGGGTCAGTCAGTATCTGACCGTTGCCAGTGTGAGAACGTCCTTTGTGCGTGTCAGACCTTAGGAAAGTATCAACTGTCACCTGTGGTCCAGACAGGAGGCCCCAGGTGGGAAGGTCAGTCCCTGCGCTCCACACACTCGGAGCCCGCTGGGTCCCTCAGCCGCCTGGTCCCCCAGCCCCACCTCCTTTGGGGCTTTTAGGGGAGCCCTCCTTTCCCAACTGGGAGGGACCCGAGTGTTGTCCTCAGAGAGCCCTGTCTTCCCGTCCCGCCTGGTCCAGGATGCTCCTCTTCTGTAGTTATTGGTACTCATTGCTATGCATGCTTCTTTTGTTACTAGTTCAGGCCAGAGGGGAGAGGCTGTCAGTACTTGTTCAGATCCTGGGAACTGTTGGGTTGCCGTCAGTCTGATGTGAATTCTGCAGACTTGGCACCTGGTGGCCTCCATCCTGTTCTGTCCCTGCTCCTCACAGTCACTGCGTAGCTGGGAGAGTGGCCGGGAGTTAATCGCACAGAACATGGTGCCGCTCTGGCGTCCTCCAGGTCCCCCGAGCACAGCCCTGTTAGCACAGCTGTGACGGGACGTTCAGGGGGATCGTTTTGGAGACAGTGAGGATCACACCCACATGACTGGCTATTGACCGTGGTTTTGTTGTTCCTTATTTGTGTTGGATGGCGTGACAGTGAGGGTGCGTTCGTCAGCCTAGTTTCTCCAGGCTCCTGTCTAAAGGGTGGTCTCAGCAAGCATTGCCTGGTAGTGGGTCAGTTTATGGATTTCTGGTTCTGAACATGATGTGAGAAGTAGAGATGAGGAGCCAGTGTTGGGTGGGTGGCCTGCCTTCAGCTCTACACACTGGCCGGCATGGGGAGCCCACTGCAGGGAGCCTGCGACGTTTAGAGTCTGCACTTTGTCTGCCAGTGAGAACTGCAGAGTGGTTTCATCCTTTAAACTTAAAAAATACCCAATTAAATATATGTAGATTTTGTGATTATCAGCTTTTGATGTATGTAGTTATACACTGAAATATTTTTACTTAATTTGTAAATCAAGTAGTTTGAGCATTTTTATTTTAGACTAGAGGCCCAGTGCATGGAATTCGTGCATGGGGGGGGGGTCCCTCAGCCCAGCCTGCACCCCCTTCAATCCGGGACCCTTTGGGGCATGTCCGACTGCTGGTTTAGTCCCGATCCCGCAATCTGGACATCCCTCTCACAATCCGGGACCGCTGGCTCCTAACCGCTCACCTGTCTGCCTACCTGATTACCCCTAACCCCTCTGCCTGCCTGCCTGATCACCCTTAACCGCTCTCCCCTGCCAGCCTGATCGCCCCTAACCTCTCTCCCCTGCCAGCCTGATTGCCCCTAACCGCTCTCCCCTGCCAGCCTGATCGCCCCTAACTGCTCTGCCTCGGCCCCCGCCACTGTAGCTTTGTCTGGAAGACGTCCGGTCTATCCAGTCTAATTAGCATATTACCCTTTTGTTAGTATAGATTCCTAGTCATTGAATGGTAATCTGAATCCCAGGCCCAACAGCCGCTATTCTCATCAACGTGGTTTTGTGACGTTGCCCCATTCAACAACCTGGTCTTCCCTTTAGATTCTGGAGGACCTGGACGAGCAGATGTACATTGTTGCCCTCGAGGAGGAGGCGCTGCAGAGACGGCTCGCAGGTACGTACGCAGTGCACTAAGACGGGGAACCTGGCATGTAGCTCAGAGAAGACAGGGTCTGGTGCAGCGTCTCAGGCCTCTGCTGTGCACGTGGCAGGACTCAGAGTGAAAGGGCCTTTGGGAGGAAGGGCTGCGAGACTGGCGGCTTTTGGTCACATTCCCATGATTCCCCGGCTGATCCCCTAAAATTGAGCAGGGCTGGTTCAGTTCCGAGACCCTGGCCACCACACTGTGCCCACTTCCCTGTCCTTGTGTGGCAGCACCGCGACCCTGGCTGCTGAGGTGGCAAAGCTTCATGTTGTCCGGTGAGTCACACCACATCTCATTCCCTCCTGCGGACTCGGGGGTAGACGCATGTGTCCCTGTGGCACTGAGGCTGTGACCGGCTCTGGGTGGCACCTGGGACTCTGCTGGCATGTGGGAAGGTGTTCATCGTCAGCTGATGACTAAGTGAGCACAGCACAAATTTTAAAGTTTAATTTCTAATTACTGGTTATTTTTGGCTTTAAATGAAGAACCAACAAAGAAAAGAGTAATGATATGATGAAAAATGACAGTTTGTGTAAGTTTTATTTTAATTTTACTTGGGTGATTTTCACCCTACACACTTTTACAAAGTAATTTTTAATGTTGAAAATCTGCCACCAAGTTCAGGTTATGGATAGCTAACTGTATTTCAGAATCCTAATTCAAGGCTAGGTATAAAGTGAAAGGTTACTTTAAGTATAAAATATTTTTTTTTTAAATATATTTTATTGATATTTGACAGAGAGGAAGGGAGAGAGACAGAGAGTTAGAAACATCAATGAGAGAGAAACATCGATCAGCTGCCTCCTGCACATCTCCCACTGGGGATGTGCCCACAACCCAGGCACATGCCCTTGACCGGAATCGAACCTGGGACCCTTCAGTCCGCAAGCCGACGCTCCATCCACTGAGCCAAACCGGTTTTGGCAAGTATAAAATATTGAGAAATAGGAAGACATATATCTACTTTCTTTAATTACAAATAATGAATTTAAATCTTCAACCCAAGAGTGTTCATAACATTTAGAGCGTGTTCTTAGAGGAAAGAATTTTAGGTTGTATCTTTTCTGGAGAATTCTTGTCAGTAATATTTGTGCATTTTGATACCAGTAACTTTTAGAGTGGAACTACATGTATCTTTTATCCTTCTAACTTTATTAAAGTTACTTTAAGATTTAAACCTATTTAATTCAAGAATTGTAATTTCAGTCAGTGCTGTTGACTTTATAACATATTAAAGTGGCAAATATAATGATAAATTTGTCTTATTTAGAGAATCATGTGGGTGTGTAATAAACACGCCAGAATTGTAGGAACCAGCGGTTGCCAACCTTTCGGACCTCACGGACCACAGTGGTCCCCGGACCACCGGTTGGCAACCTCTGGTAGGAACCATGTCGAGCAGACGCCCCAGTATGGGACTGTTTGCACCGAGCCATGCGCTATTTCAACCTCCAGGCCAGGGGCTGCGACCCAGGAAGGTAAAATGTAGTGCTCCATGAATTAAAGAATTTGAGTCAAATCTAATCCAAACCAAATCAAACCAAAACCATAGCCTTTACTCACTTTGCCCTTCACAGCAGGAAAAAGATGCTGCAGAATCCTTCTAGATGCTTTGGCTGCTCCAATCCAAAGGGGTTCACTACACCCAGAGACACTGAAAGGGAAATGTCTGCCAGAGGCTGATGTGTTACAAAAGGCAGCTAAGCCAGAATGGCAGACCCCCAACCAGCACAGAAATGTCCGCGGCAGCGGGGACAATGATGGGAGCACCAATGCTGGGTGGAATCTACCTGCCTCCGGGAGATGGGGGCCAGCACTGAGATCTGTGTCTGCCCTCGGGGAGATGGGGGGAGATTGGGAGAGATGGGGAGAGATGGGGGCCAGTGCTGAGATCTGTGTCTGCCCTCGGGGAGATGGGGAGAGATGGGGGCCAGCGCTGAGATCTGTGTCTGCCCTCGGGGAGATGGGGAGAGATGGGGGAGATGGGGAGAGATGGGGAGAGATGGGGGCCAGTGCTGAGATCTGTGTCTGCCCTCGGGGAGATGGGGGGAGATGGGGAGAGATGGGAGGAAATGGGGGCCAGTGCTGAGATCTGTGTCTGCCCTCGGGTAGATGGGGGGACATGGGGGCCAGCGCTGAGATCTGTGTCTGCCCTCGGGGAGATGGGGGAGATGGGGGAGATGGGGGGACATGGGGGGACAAGGGGGCCAGCGCTGAGATCTGTGTTGGGATCTACCCTGACCGCTCTGCTGGCGGGTGGGTCACAGTCTCCCCGCCAGACTCCACCTGCTGGTGAGCCAGTGGCTGTAGTTTTGCTGTTTGCCGCTGGTGGACTGTTGCAGGTGGAAACAGGCTTGGAACAGAAATAGCTCCGGGACAGAATGGACATTTGGACTAATTAAATGACGGACTGTGAGCTTCAGTGTGTCTATCAGTGTTGTGCAGAGGGAAAAAACAAGAGGCAACGGAACAGCATTTTATGATTTGCTGTTTTAAAGAAAATGGAGATCTTAGAGGTTAGTAATAGAAATCATCCCCATGGGTTTATTACTCTAGTATTATGTGAAATGTATTGTGTTGTAAGTTATATTTTAAATCATTTTTTAAAATTGAAGTTTTAACTTTTTTATTCTGGGCTACTAAAAAGAGTTGCAGTATGATCAAAGTAAAAAACACTTAAAACAATAATACAGATGACACGGTGACGAACCCAGAATGCATGGCGGTGTTCTGCTGATGGCACACAAGCATGCGACACGCATCCCATGAGACTCGGACATCCGCATGGTTTGCTCTGAGCCCCGCTTCCCCGGGACCTGGAAAAGCCCGAGCCTCTGCCGGAAGCACGTCCCTCAGGAGCAGCTCTGCCTGCTTCTGGGAGGCCCCCGGCTGCTTTGGGGGTAATGACGTCACTAGAGCTGAATTTTCGCACTGGCTTTTCCAGGCAGCCTGGTTCTGAAGGCTGCCGGCCTGACTTCACGTTCCCGTCTGACACATGAGGGCCAGAGGCTGTGTCGTTGGTGACAGTGTCGCCTCTTCCTAAAGGCTGTGAGGAAGATGAGCTGCCTGCGTGCCACGGTCAGTCAGCATCCTCCCCTTCCGTCGGCTGTGCGCCTTCTTCCCAGCAGCACTTTTGGGCAGGCGAGTTCCAGCTGCGTCTCAAGTTCACGGACTACCTGCCTGAAGACAGAGGAAAAGGGCGAGAATCTGCGAGACTATCTGGGACTGAGACACTGGGAAAAGGCATCCTGGGGAGCGGGGAGGAAGCCCAGCTCTGCTGGTTCAGACAGCCCTCCGGGGCCCGTCCTCACGGCAGCATAGAGACCGTCTCCAGAGCCCCCGCGATCCTGGCAGGGCTCCCGTCCCTTTGCCCAGCACCCGGTCTCCCAGCCGGTCAGCCTCCAGCTCCCCTCCCCTCGGACCCTCCTGTATCAGTCAGTCTAGGCGTCGCGTGCTCTCAGCCCTACAGTGCTCCTGCTTCAGTCGGTGACAAGCCCACCCACCCTCTCCTGCATCTCCCTGCAGCTGCCCTCACTGTCCCCTTCCGCAGGCGCCCAATGGTTGCCTCCCTGCTGCCCCACCCGCCCTGTCTGTGCCCCTTGAGCTTTTGGACTTGAGTCCCTGTTGTGAAGCCGACGCTGCCGCCACTCCCTCCCTCCCCCTCATGTCCTGGTCCTCCCACTCTGTCCTCAGCGCTTTCCACCAACTGACTTCCCGTCTTCCTTTTCCCGTTGTGTCTCTGCAGTGGAGCAGGGACACCACAGGGCAGGGGTTTCTGTTGGTCCCTTCCGTGCCCCTGGCCCTGGGACATTGCCAGATGGAGTGGTGTGGTGGAGGGTGGCACTTCCCCGGGAGGTGAGGAAGATGCAGGGTGTGCTGGGGGCATGAAGGCAGAGTCCCAGGGACAGAGCCCAGGACCCACAGCAGGGCCCCTGAGGACAGGCCGGGCCCAGGGGTGTTCCCTAGGAAGCAGAAGTAAGGGGACATTTCCCGGTTGGTCACGTGCAATATGAGCAGTGAAGATGCCTTCTCCAGACCCTGCAGAGGAGCCCCATCGGTAGTTGTGGTGGGAAGCCCTGTGTACCTCCTGCCCAGGGCCACGCACATCCTCAGCACACGCACAGTGGGAGTGAGGCAGAAGCACTAATGGAAATAGCGAGCCTTTGTGTGCGTAGCCGATGGGTGTGCAGGTAACTTAGAAGCACCGTAATGGGCAGGGATTCGTTTTTGTTAAGTTCAAAACCTTCACGGTTCTTTTAATGTAATTTATTTAAATTTAATGTAATTTATTTAAAAATGTTGTAGGCTTTGAACTTAATGATTCAGTGCAGTTTTGTTAGGTACTATTTTTACCTTCATGATAAAAACTTAGTGTATCACTTTTGGTAGCAATTACTTTCCTGCTTGATTCTAACCTTTTTCAAAGCCTGGTCCTCCAAAGCTTCATTACTCCTTATTCTCAGAGGCATTTTCCCTGAGTGTCAGGTTGTAATGCCTTTGTATCTGAAGAATAAAGACTTTCAGAAATAACACATGGCCCTTCCGTGGCACGGGTGGCCGGCAGCATTGTGTCCTCAGTCCTGGAGTCCTGGAGCTGGGTGAGTTGCCTGGCGCTTTTAGGCGATGCCCAGGTTTAGGGAGGTGTTTGTGCTGCTCTAGAGTAATGGGTCCTGTCAGAGCACCTCCCAGCTTCCTGGGCAGACAACTGGCTGACCGGTCATTACTTGCCTGACGTCTTCTCCTAACACCCTTAGCAGTGTAAGGAAGCTGAGGTCAGATTTCATCTTATGTCCTCCACCTCACTTTCATCTCGACGCTACGGTTCTTCTACGCCAGCAGTGGGTATTTTAAGAATCCTGTGTACTGTGGGGTCTATCACGGAGTGACAATAACTCAGATTTGCCGCCTCTGGGCCCTGGTGGTTTGGGCGTGGACACAGACAGCAGGCATTGCTGTGGGGAACGGCCCTTCTTTGGTAAGACTGTGATAGAGGAAAATGTTTAGTAATATCCTGACGTCCTGAGTGCACAGAAACGAATATCGATCCTACTGGTAAAACTAGTTAAATGGCTTCTTTCTAGTAAAGATATCAACGTTTGGGTTTAAGGGTCTGAAACAGGAATTCCTTGTTACAGTTCATTCAGTTTTTAGGGTCATATAATCACTTTCTAGACAATAAAATGTGGCCCAAACAGATTGTTCGTTACCAGTGAGAAGATGTGGCTGAAGAGATGTCAGCTAACGGGGAATACTTTGGAGTAACCAGCTATAGAAT